ACGCGAAGGGTAAAATCCCTGGGCACTAACAGCAGAAATCTGCAACTTTTTTCTCAAGTTCAAAACTTCCCGAATCACCTCCGAAACACAGCCGAGCCCTCGGGGTTCCTAACCAAACATAGGTACTAACTCAACAACATCATACGAACTTATCCGTGCGATCAAATCACCAAAATAACCTCAATAACAGTGAATCAAACCTCAAAATCAAGAAATTTTTCTCAAACTTCATCAAGTATCAAATTTAGCAATTTAGGTCCGAATCACGTCAAACGACGTCCGTTTTTCACCAAATTTTACAGAAACATCTTAAATCATATATAAGACCTGTACCGGGCATCGGAACCAAAATACGAGCCCGATAACAATACTTTCTAATCAAATTTCATTTCAAATTTCCTTAAACAATTTCCTTTAAAAATTCATTTCTCGGGCTTGGGACCTCGGAATTCGATTCCGGGCATACGCCTAGATCCCATATTTTACTACGGACCCTCCGGGACAGTCAAATTACGGGTCCGGGTCCGTTTACCCAAAACGTTGACAAAAGTCAAATTTATTCATTTTATAGTCAAACCGTATCATTTTTCACAGATTTTTATATTTAAGCTTTCCGGCTACGCGCCCGGACTGCGCACACAAATCGAGGTGACTCCAAATGAGGTTTTTATGGCCTCGAAAATACAGAATTAAATTTGAAAAGCAAGAAAGGTCATCACAATGTTAGTGGCTTTGTAGATAGAGGTTCATTTTTTACAGTATGTCAGAGGCCTTGGCGGCCCATATGTATTCATATTTTATGAACGATAGTTATTGATACAGTGTTCGTCCACTTACAGTTACACATTACAAGATGTGGCCATGTTGACCCGTGATAGTCAGAAGAAAAAAAATGAGTTACAAAGTGGCTCGCTCGGGCCAGTACGGCACCGGGTGCCAGCCACACCTCACCAGGTTTGGGGCGTGACAAAGTGGTATCAGAGCGGGTCGTGTCCTAGAAAGTCTACAAAGCCGTGCCTAGTAGAGTCTCACTTATGGGTGTGTTGCGCGCCACATTTATAATTGAGAGGCTATATGGGATCTAGGAAATGTTACCCTTCTTTTGTTTCCAGATCGTGCCATAGAGCTAAGTCGTAAGAAGTCCGTATGAAGCTTTCACCAAATTTTGTATGCACCAGAGGTGTAGATATCACAGTAGAGCTTTAAGGCGTAATTTCCACCTATGTGGAAGGGAGGTTATGAAAGCAACAGAAGATACGATGCGATATTGAAAGGTAAGTAAGATAAATGTGAAGAAGATACGAGATACTCAAGTACAAAAGATTGTGAATAGTCGAGACTTCAAATAGAGGTTGGGTTTTAGTTTATTTTACAGAGGAGACCCTACTGAAAATTTTGTAAATCTCTGAGAGTTAATATTCGAGGACAAATGTTTCTAAAAGGGGGAAGGATGTTACATCCCGTACTTTAATATTAGGATAAGTCGTAGTAATCCATATGAGCTCGAAAGGATTAAGAGCATTCATGAGATTATAAAGGATTCGTTACTATGTTATTGTAAGACCCCGTAAGTTTAACAACATTGATACCGTTATATACATTTGATATGGTATTTTGAGTGGAATATTTTGTGTAAAAAGTTTAATAAAAAACATGATTTTATATAGTTATGAATATTATTACTTTCGAATATGCTTTAAATTATACACATAATATGAGAAAGTTTATGAAATTTTCTTTATTGTAAAGATAGAAAATATTTATTCACAAGAAAAGAAGGTTATCTTTTACCATTTTAAGAATTAAGCATACGAAAATTTATACTTTTTTTATGAGATTAGAAAAATTATAAGTTGAGAAAATATATGTATTTTTACATGGATATTTTAATGAAATAATAATGTATATATAGATTTTATATGGTACCACATGACCATGATAGTAAAGTATATTATTGTAAGGTGTATAAAGTGTCTTAAAAGTGAGTAGAATTTTAAGTAATTTGAGATAATTCTTAATTATGTGGGTAATTGATTAACTATTGGATAAGTTTAAGAAGGCTTAACGTGGCAGCAAGACATGTAAATCAAAGTGACTCTTACATTCATTAAATAGGTGGCATTCGTCAACAAATCCATGCAGGTAAAAGCTTAAGACATTCTTTCTTCTGTTTATTAAATAGATCAAGTGCTTGATGATTTTATTTGTTTTTACAGAAAATAATGATAATGTTGAAGTTACTTAGTTCCTCTCTCTAATCTTCAAGAAAGATACTGAACAAAACTTTTTTCAATGGATTCTCATGATCAGTACAGGAATTATAAGTTCCAAATGGCATGTAAAAGTTGTTCATTTTGTTTCCCAATTGAGGATGTGAAATTTTGCAAGAATAGTTCTAATATATTGTTAATTAACGTACTTATATAATAAAACGTGAGAAATTTGGTATACTTATTTCCTTTCCTTCCATTCACTTTTTGAGGATATAATTATAACATATATATCAAGCAACGTTGTTAGCAAGAGAAATACATTTGTTGCTTCTTCTCAACAAGATTAGAAATCGCCCTTGAGAAATTTGAGCTACAAAGGTAGAAATATCCTTTTACACTAAAGCAAAACATGAAGAAGACTAGTTTTGGCATACAAGATTGAGGAAATTGTTCACATATACAAGTAGGAAGTTGACATTAAAAGTATGTTAAGGCTATCCCTTCTTTCCTTTTGGCATGATTCAAGTAACGATACGTAAACGTAATGCTATTTCATAAGTGTTTCTACTCTTAGCAGTTAAGGATGTCTATGTTAGTTATTCCTGTAAACTGATATTCAAGCATGTCTAAGTATGTCCCTAAGTCCCTAATGAGGTATATGATAGAGATGTTAATGTTTGTAATATAGTGAGTACATGCATCTTCATGCATTTACCACCGTGCTATAGTCGGTCGGGCAGTTACCACCAGTTGGGCAGTTATGTATCATTATTTACCACCGGTTGGGCAGTCATACATATTCATTTACCACCGAGCTACGGTCAGTCGGGCAGTCATCCATTTACCAACGAGCTACGACCGGTTGGTTAGTTACATATTTACCATCGACTACGGCCGGTCGAGTAGTCATGCATTTACTACCGCGCTACGGCCGGTCGGGCACACTTGGGGATTCGATGATAAAGATCAGACAACGATCTCACTTTCCTTGGTTACCACTGATCAGTTGGGCAATCATGCATAATACGATATGGATAAGAGTCTCAAAGAGAAGCATTATATATATATATAAGTTTAAGAAGGTTTAATGTGACAGCAAGACATGTAAATTAACATTCATTAAATAGGTGGCATTCATCAACAAATCCTTGCAGGTAAAAGCTTAAGACATTCTTTCTTCTGTTTATTAAATTGATCAAGTGCTTGATGATTTTATTTGTTTTTACAGAAAATAATGATAATGTTGAAGTTACTTAGTTCCTGTCTCTAATCTTCAAGAAAGATACAGAAGAAAACCTTCTTCAATGGATTCTCAAGATCACTACAGGAATTACAAGTTCCAATTGGCATTTAAAAGTTGTTCATTTTTTTTCCCAATTGAGGATGTGAAATTTTGCTAGAATTAGTTCTAATATATTGTTAATTAACGTACTTACATAATAAAACGTGAGAAATTTGGTATTCTTATTTCCTTCCCTTCCATTCACTTTTTGAGGATATACTTATAACATATATATCAAGCAACGTTGTTAGCCAGAGAAATCCATTTGTTGCTTCTTCTCAACAAGATTAGAAATGGCCCTTGAGAAATTTAAGCTACAAAGGTAGAAATATCTCTTTACACTAAATCAAAACATGAAGAAGACTAGTTTTGGCATACAAGATTGAGGAGATTGTTCACATATACAAGTAGAAAGTTTGACATTAAAGGTATGTTAAGGCTATCCCTTCTTCCTTTTGGAATGATCCAAGTAATGTTACGTAAACGTAATGCTATTTCATAAGTGTTTCTACTCTTAGCAGTTAAGGATGTCTATGTTAGTTATTCCTGTAAACTGATATTCATGCATGTCTAAGTAAGTCATTAAGTCCCTAATGAGGTATATGATAGAGATGTTAATGTTTGTAATATAGTGAGTAAATGCATCATGCATTTACCACCGTGCTATGGCCGGTCGGGCAGTTACCATCGGTTGGGCAGTTATGTATCATTATTTACCACCGGTTGGGCAGTCATGCATATTCATTTACCAATGAGCTACGGCCGGTCGGGTAGTGATGCATTTACTACCGCGCTACGGCCGGTCGGGCAGTTACACTGATCAGTTGGGCAGTCACGCATCATACGATATGGATAAGAGTCTCAAAGAGAAGCATTATATATATATATATATATATATAAGTATAATAAGTATGCATATACAGTGGCACTTCAGAGGTTCGGGTTGAGTCATTTACTCCATGTTTCTTTTATATCCTTTATATGCTTATTTACATGCCTTACATACTCGGTACATTATTCATACTAACGTCTTTTTTATTGTGGACGCTGCATTCATGCCTGCAGGTATAGATAATCAGTTTGGCAAACCCTCATAGTAGACGAGATATGCATTCAGTGAAGCATCGGTAAGACTCCACCTCACTCGGAGTGCAGCCGAGTCTATGAGTCATCATTTCAGAATATTGCTACAGACTTATGGGTAGGCCGGTACCCTATTCCATTTGATGTCAAATAATCTTAGAGGCTTTGTAGACAAAGGTTCATTTTGTACAGTATGTCAGATGCCTTGGCGGCCCATATGTATTCATATTTTAAGAACGATAGTTATTGATACAATGTTCGCCCACTTACAGTTACACATTACAAGTTGTGGCCATGCTGGCCCATGATACTTAGAAGAAAAAAAAAAGAGTTACAGAGTGGTTCGCTCGGGCCAGTACGGCACCGGGTGCCAGCCACGCCTCCTCAGGTTTGGGGTGTGACATCAACGTCACTGCATTGACTTGAGGATTTTTCTCTATATCACTTGGAAGAGCTCCAGCAGGTCTAGTATTCTGATTGTTAGCCATCTGCCCAAACTGCCTCTCTAGATTTTTGAATTCTGTGCGCAATTGCTGATTGTCTATCAAGAGCTTTTTCATCATGTCAGTCAAACTCTCATCTGCTTGATGTTGGGGTTGAGGTGGACGATTATAATTTCCTGAGGCCTGATATTCTGTTTTCGACCCCAAGAGAAGTTAGGATTATTCCTCCAGTTCGGATTGTATGTACTACCATATTGAGCATTTTGATTCATCGGCCCTCTAGCTTGTTGCCCCACGTAGTGGATAGATTCAGGATTTATGGGACATATGTCACTTGTGTGACCTTCACCACATAACTCGTAGCAAGTAGACATCTGTTGCACATGTTGCATCTGTTGTGCTTGGTTCATTGTCATTTTATTCATCTGATTCGCTAGTCTCGCTATATCTGCCCTCATTGCTGAGAAGTCATCAAGCTCGATCAAACCTGCTGCCTTTTGTTTAAGTGCTCTTCGTGGTTCCCCATCTCCTTGCCAATTATTATCATTAGCAGGATCTGGATCTTAGTCTTGCCATGCAACTACCCCCACATGCTGAATCAAGATTCATCTTTGATGCCTTGTCCAACTCATCAACAAAAGTGTGACCCAACACCTCATCAGTCTGACAATGGTGTGGGCAGTCTCTGAGTAGCTTCTTGTATCTTTCCCAAGCTTGTCGAAGAGTCTCGCCATCTCGTTGTTGAAACCCAAGAAGCTGGCTCCTCAGTGACTTTGTCTTCTTTGTAGGAAAAAACTTGATTAACAATTTCCTTGCAAGATCGTCCCAATTGTGGATTGAGTTCGCGGGCTCCTTTTGTAACCATTCCTTAGCTTCTCCCAGCAGTGAAAGGGAAACAGTGTCAGCCTGACATAGTCCTTGGAAACGTTCGGATAATAGTAAGTGTCTGTAATTTACAGGAAGTTCTTAATGTGCATCTGCGGGTCTTCATGAGATAAGCCAACATATTGCCCTGTGGATTGAATCAATTGTACCATGTACTGTTTGAGTTCAAAATGACCCGTGATATCAGGCTTCACAATCGCCTGAGTCATATTAGCTAGATTGGGCCTTGCAGCTTCTATCACCGGACGCTCTTCACTACCTGCCATCTCTACTGGTTATGGTTGAACTACGATGCCCAACTCTCATTCAATTCTAGTTCTAGCTTCGACTTCCCTCCTCACTCTATGAAGGGTTCGTTCGATTTCAGGATCAAGAGGAAGGAGATTGTTTGCGCTTCTACTCCTCCGCATCCAAGAGAAGAGCCTATGTTAACACAAACAAGGCAAACAGAAAATTAAAACTTGAACAAATAACGAATAAAAGCTTAACTTAACTAAACAATAAATAACTAAGTCCCCAGCAACGACGCCAAAAACTTGTTGAGACCAAACACACACACAAGTATACGTGGTCGTCAGGTAATAAAGTGACTCGAAAGTCGGATGTCGAACCCACAGAGACTTACATTGATTGTTAACTAAGTAAACTAAAATCAATTAATTGTCCAAGATATATAAGAGTGATATTTTTCTATTAATCTACTATTGCAGAAACTTAACAAATAACAACTAAATTATCAAGAATGCGATTTTGTATTACGAGATTTTACTTTAGAAAAGATGGAAATTCCAGGGTTTTGGTTGGTTTATCAATCCTATTAAGTTCAAAATTCACACTCGTTAATCCAGATTATCTATGGTTGCTAATTAATCGGATATTTTATATGAATAGCATATTCCAACAATACTACTCGTCTGCCCACAATATATCAACCCTATATTCCTATGGTATTGAGTCTATCATGAACGAACATAATACGGTATTCAATTAAGCAAGACTGTTAGGTATATTCATATCCTAACCGCAAAATCTTCCCCCGAGCCACGGGTTCAGAAACAAGCTCTCTCTAATTCTACTCTAATCTAAACACGGCTTTCCCAAGCATAACATAGATAGTAAATAGAACTCAACTGCTAGCCAGACAATTAAGCAATTATGCACAGAATTAGAGAACAACCACAACATGATAATCCAAATTAACGAAGATATAATTAATAAACGTTAATAATCATGTCAGCCACAACCCTAGAACGTAGAGTGCTTAGCCACTCATGTTCATAGTAACAATTTTCCAAGTATTTTATATAAACAAATTACACAGAAAAGAAAAAGGAACGAAGAACTCTATGATTTTCTCCTCCAAAAGTTGTCCACGTTATGTCCTTGCCTCCGATCGCAAAACTCCCTCCAAAGTGGCGTTTTTAGGTCTATTTATATGTGTAGGAAAAGACCTAAACGTGTAGGTCGAGTCTTAGTCACGCCGGGAAACGAATTAAGTCTTCAAAACTCGGACTGGACCTCGCCCTAGGCCTGGCGTCACCAGCCTAACACCAGGCTTTAGCCTGGCGAGGCTAGCCAAAGGCCAGGCTGAAGCTGGCATTAGGCTGGCGACGCTAGGCCTAGGGCGAGGTCCAATCCGAGTTTTGAAGACTTAATTCGTTTCCCGGCGTGACTATGACTCGACCTACACGTTTAGGTCTTTTCCTACATATAAATAGACCTAAAAATGCCACTTTGGAGGAAGTTTTGTGACCGGAGGCAAGGACATCACTTGGACAACTTTTGGAGGAGAAAATCATAGAGTTCTTCATCCCTTTTTCTTTTCTGTGTAATTTATTTATGCAAAATACTTGGAAAATTGTTACTACGAACATGAGTGGCTAAGCACTCTACTTTCTAGGGTTGTGGTGGACATGATTATTAAAGTTTATTAATTACATCTTCTTTAATTCGGATTATCATGTTGTGGTTGTTTCTCTAATTCTGTGCATAATTGCTTAATTGCCTGGCCAGCAGTTGAGTTCTATTTACTATCTATGCTATGCTTGGTAAAGCCGTGTTTAGATTAGAGTAGAATTAGAGAGAGCTTGTTTCTGAACCCGTGGCTCGGGGAAGATTTCACGGTTAGGATAGGAATATACCTAACAGTCTTGCTTAATTGAATACAGTATTATGTTCGTTCATGATAGACTCAATACCATAGGAATATATGGTTGATATACCGTGGGCAGGCGAGTAGTATCGTGGGAACATGCTATTCATATAAAAGATACGGTTAATTAGCAACCATAGATAACCTAGATTAACGAGTGTGAATTTTTGAACTTAATAGGATTGATAAACCAACCACAACCCTGAAATTTCCATCTTTTCTAAAGTAAAATCTCGTAATACAAAATCGCATTCTTGATAATTTAGTTGTTATTTGTTAAGTTTCCGCAATAGTAGATTAATATAAAAATACCACTCTTAAATATCTTGGACAATTAATTAATTTTAGTTTACTTAGTTAACGATCAAGAAGTAAGCAACCTCCACTTCCAACCAAGAGGTTGTGAGTTCGAGTCTCCCCAAGAGCAAGGTGGGAAGTTCTTGGAGGGAAGGATGCCGGGGGTCTATTTGGAAATAGCCTCTCTACCCCAGGGTAGGGGTAAGGTCTGCGTACACACTACCCTTCCCAGACCCCACTAAGTGGGATTATACTGGATTGTTGTTGTTGTTGTTGTTGTTAGTTAGTTAACGATCAATCTAAGTCTCTGTGGGTTCGACATCCGACTTTCGAGTCACTTTATTACCTGACGATCACGTATACTTGTGTGTGTGTTTGGTCCCAACAAGGCTAAAGCCTGGTTAAGCAGGCCTTTGCCTGGCCTCGCCATGTCTCTCCTTTTTACTATTCTCGAGCACACTTTCAACGTTTAAGTATCCCTTTTGCTCTATTTTCATCTCCAATTCACCTACACATAAAATAGACTCCATTACGCGCAAATAAAGTGTAATTATCATTAAGCATGTAAAATACAAGGCACATAATGTGCTAAACCATGAATTATAGCCACACATCAGTCACGCGACTCAACACTTAAGTCAATTAATTGTTTATTTTTGTTACTCCTTTTAGCTTTTTGCTACTTTAACGAAGTCAGATTAGATCAATAATTTTGCATAGGTAATAAAGTGAAAGTGGTGCTGTGGGGAGATAATAAATTATTAAGAAAAAAAGGTTCAAGTTTGTCCCTTTTGAAATTGTTCAATTTTGTTCACTCGTTAAATTTTTTACCAATTTATAATTTTATTTTAACAAATCGTCTCGTACTTGCTTTTATCGTTAATGGAGCTCCGACAAAGAATGAATAAGACTCTACATGTCTATATTCTTCAAAAAAAAAAAAAAAAAAAAAAAAATCTATATTTATTTCTCAACTTTTGATTAACGTTTAAAAGTACCCTCAAAGTGAAGCTTCGTTGGGAGCGAGGACCAAATTTTTTTTTAAAAAAAGGGCTCTTTCCTAAATGCAGATGTAAGATTAGATCAAAAATTTATAATCAAAATTCCAAATAGTTACATATAAACCTGATGAAGTAGCTAAACTATGATTCTTTACAACTGCAAAAAGTGATTCAATTTCTATACGAGAGTATTAAAATACCGTTCATTTGTTTTATTTCTTCGTAACACCTCTAACTTTTTTAACCCAAAGAAAGAAAAACTCTAACTTGACATCTAATTAAAAATAAAGATGAATTTCTTTTAATTTTATTCGCGAACTATAAATCAATCATTACTCCGTCATCCTAATTCAATTTTTATCCTTAACTGTTAAACTAATTTTCAGTCAAATAGTATATCAACAATTATTATTTTTCAGAATATGTACAACTTATTATTATCTCAGTGAAAAAGAAATTGCAAGACCAATTTCAGTTTAACCAAGAAACTTTAAATGACATCAACAAACGAATCGAACATGAAAAGCTTATTTTCTATGCGGAAGAAATACCATGAAATTCTATCATAGCAATGGTATGACTACAGAAAGAAGGATCTTTACGAAGTGTAAAAATGAAAGTTGGACAAGATCCACCATACCTAATTAGACAACAATCACATTTGCTTCTCAAAGTGTAATATTTATCATTCCATGTTGAACATTGTGAGCAATATAACATGAACACAAGCATTAGATAGATGCACCGAACTCTAGAACCATATAAGGAAAATAGATTTTCGACCTAATTTAACTATTAACCTCAAAGTTAACTCATAACATAACGTTTATTTAATGTTTACCCGTAAAACGGTACAGTTGAATTTTATAGCGTTGTTTATAGACAAGCGGATTGATTTGACCCAAAAATAACAAATACATAAGAACAAAAGTAAGATTGTCAAATGAAATTAAGAAAGACTACAAGCCTGACTAAGAACTTAGCCTTTCCGATGGCAAGAGGGGGAGCATTGTTCGAGAACTAAAACTGAGCGTATGAAAGTAGGTTGTAGCTTTTTGTGTGCAGAATAGTTTTTGTCCGTATAATGGATGTTAATCCTTCTATTTATATCCCTATTCAGGGAGACAAGATCCCCAAAACAAGCTCCTCTTGAGTGAGAATAAAACTGACATTGATGGAAGCATAACGGTTGGCTATAAATGCAGATATTTCTTGTAATGACTGCCCATTGAATGTTATCCGGTGACAATACTTTGAATCTTTGTTACTGCCTATTCTGTCTTCGGGATTCGTTCAGCATTGATTGCATACTTATACCCAGTGCCAGCTGTTTGCTGACTCATGTCCCACCTGTCTTTAGTTCCACGTGGCATCCCGTCATTCGTCCAGCTGTCCCTAACCAATTTTTCCACACAACTAGTACCCCTACTTTTCGGTGACGCAACTTAGTGTTACCGAAAAGTAGATAAGAGTTCCTTTCTTGGCGAGAAAGTTCCTAAACGGACTCTGACGCTTGAAAGGACGCATGTCTTCTCGTATAATGACCCAAACACGTGTTGTTCCGTGATTCAGCAAATATTTTAGCCAGTTTTCGAGGTAATCATGACTGCAATTTTGCCATCTATAACTACTCCATTTCTCCTCATTCTAACTCTTTACTTTTACAACTTCCTCTTCTTCTCCTATCTTAGATTACTGCTTGAGAACTCCAGCTTTATTAGTAAAAAATTTCTTTACAGATTTCTTATCACCATGTCTTCTTATACTGCTATCTCCGGAAACTCTGGCCTTTTTTTCGGTGGGGGGCCAAAGAAGA